ATCTTCGCGAATTCTAGGGCTTGATCATCGTTTGGACAAGCTCCATTGCAGATCTGAATAAATTCCGCGTACGAAATCCAATCCTTTTCTATCTGCTTTAGCCTAGATTTCACCACCTCAAGCTGCGCCAACCTCAGAACCTTCTTCGCATCCGCCAACGTGAATTTCCCCTCCTCCGCATCGGAGTCCTCCGCCGGTATCGGTTTTTGTTGCGGCGGTGGGATGAGCCCATCGAGTCTGATCCTATCTCTAGCAATGTCCATCCCTCTCAGTTTCTCAAGGAGCTTTTCTCCGATGGGAAGAGACCGGAGCTCCGGCGAGGTTGCCACAGAGTCACGGTGGAGATATCGCCGAAAAAATCGATCGTCTCCGGGATCTGGAGCTCTCGTATTAGGATTTGAAGAGGCTGTCGATTTGGTCATGGTTGAGGAACAAATACGGCAGGTTGTTAGGGAAGGACGAGTAATTTTGTAAGCATTGAAAAGCCGTTCAGCTAACATTTTCTTGAACGCCATTGATATACGAAGAAACTCTGTTCTTATTTTGGTAAATATTGCAGGTTACGGATCTTTCAACCATGAGAAAATAGTGTTGTAATCGCCTTGTATTTATAGGTCCTTTTGCCGTTAAAGAAACGCTAGGTTTTTCCTTTTTTTTTCTTTTTTTCTTTTGTTTTTTTGGTAAACAAACGCTAGGTTATTTTATCCTTACCTGCGAGATAATCACTTGTGGCGAGAAAATGAATATTCCCAAAAATATAAGGCAGGTATCATAGGCATTCGTTACGAAAATATCTTATCGTAGATTATTCAACTTAAACGACGTTAGAGAAAAAGAAAAATAAAGTGTGACACAGCAAATTGTGTCGTTTTTGAGCGGGTCATAGCATGATGCCATGATCCAATTCGTTAAATTCATTAAAATAAAAATATGTTGAGGCTTGTATTTTAAAGTGGGGTTATAGTCCTACTTATTCAATTAAACACATTCAAAAGTAATTTTTTAGTTTGTTATATTTTTAGCTAAAGAAGATTCTTTCAATTTTAAATAAAAACACCAACCTCTTAGAGAAAAAAATTTATTTTACAAAATATTCAAAATGATTTGGGAATTTTTTCACCAAACGTACGTATTCGTTGGAACTTTTAGTGCCTTCAAATAAGTATAGGCTAGTCGAGCGTATACATAGACAACCCATTAAACTTGGCCCAATTTTTTATTTTGGCACTCTAACTCAATCTTGTTCCATTTTGGCTCTCCAACCCTATTTCTTATGTTTCACTTTAACACAACAGCTGACTAGATTCAGAGTGTGAGTTGCCTCACCCTGTAAGCGCGTGAGTGAGATTTTTTTGGGCAAATTTCCTTCTCCAACCCATTGAACTTGGCTTCATTTTTCATTTTGGCACTCTATCTCAACCTTGTTCCATTTTGGCCCTCCAACTCTATTTCTTATGTTTTATTTTAACACGAAAGCTGACTAGTCACATAGTGTGAATTGGCTCTCATGGTAGGCGCGTGAGGCAGATTGTTTATGGCAAAATTCCTTCTCCAACAGTAATAAAATAACTGTTGGCCCCATTTTTAATCTCCCAACTTCCTTCCCCCATATTTCATCTTCATTATTTCCTTCCCCATTTACTGTTTATATGAAAACCGATCAATTTCAGTCGGTTTCTTAAAAAATAAATTTTGCGGGACACTAAAAGAGTTTTCTGCATTTTTGCGCCAAAAAAAGACCGAAGTTGGTCGGTTTCATAAAAATAAAAAATTAAAAAATTATATTTTGAAATAAATTTTATATTTTGTGAAACGTGTGTGCATGCATATCCTGAAATACCCACAAATTTCATAAATTTTCGAACCGCTAAATTTTCGAAACCGCAAACTTTCGAACCTGTAATGGAACAAGGTTGAGATAGAGTGCCAAAATGAAACATAAGAAATAGAGTTGGAGGGCCAAAATGGAACAAGGTTGAGATAGAGTGTCAAAATGAAAAATGGAGCCAAGTTCAACGGGTTGTCTATGTATTTGGCCAAGCAAGTATGTATACGCGCTGCATTTTTATGTCGGATAAAAATTTTTGTAATAAAGTGAAACATAAAAAATGGGATTGAAGGGCCAAAATGAAACAAGATTGAGTTAGAGTGACAAAATAAAAAATTGGGCCAAATTTAATAGACTGTCTATGTATTTGGCCATTAAAAATTTGACATATCAAAGGTGGTCATCTGATCACCATGCATGTGGTTGGCTAGAGTTGCCCGGGCAATTACCATCCTGATTGTTAACAAAACTAATCATGAGTGATGAGAGCAACTAAGAAATACTAACAACTTTGGGAAAATAATGGTTCAAATCTGCTATATTTTTTTTCTTTTTTACCAAAAAAAAAAAAGAAGAAGGTTGAAGGTATAGAAATCGCAAACGTGTCGCCACATATATTCCGAGGTGGCGGGGTCCCGTAAAGCTGGGGCTTTGCTGTTTATGGCGTAGGGGTAGGACGATTAATATTAATTGGGTTAGTTGAATTGTTTCCCGAAAAGTCGGGAATCGTAGCTTGGAAAATAAAGAACTTGCCGCGTAAGTTTATGCTACTTGAAAATAGTACTTAGCATAAAGTTAATTATACTAATTACGATAGATCATAAGATGTAACCTCCACCAAGTCCAGCCTATTCATAAGGCGAGCCGATGTCCTTTGACGCTTAATCCACAAATATGATACAACCTAGGCTTTCTTTTCTCCATCTTTTCCCATTTTTTCTTTTTATTTTTCTTGTGAATGGGATGAAACGTAAATAATGAAAAGAAAAGTGATATAAGTAAAGGCTTTAGGTAGTCTCATCATCATGCACGTAAATGGTATAAGTTGAAATCAGAAACATTAATTATAATTATTGGACACTATAGCTACAAAGATAACAAAGTTGTAGTCTGTTCTCGTTTTTATCATTAAGACTATCTTAGTTAAACTCCTCTCTATTTTTTTTCTCTTTTCATTTGGTTCATATCCTGAAAAGTGGATCATATTCATTGCGGAATCCCAAAATACTGCTATATAATGACATTTTCTTTTTTTGCTTTTGATTATTTTTTCCTTAGTTATATCTTGTCTTCCCAAATTGTTCCTTTTGAGTATCGCAAATGATTCAAGATACACACGAAGACTGGAGAGATCCATATTTTATTTTTAATAAGTAAAAAAGTCATAACTTGTAGTTCGCACAAGCATTTCGTGATGTGATCGTCGACTGTTTATTTATATATTATTTACTTCTCCATTTATTTATGCATGCTCTCGGCCGTACAGTGTATAAAGCTATAATTGAACTGGATATAGCCTTATTCCTTCTTTACAAACCATTAAAGAATACTTATATGATTCGTATAATTGATGCAGTGACTCTAGACATCGTCAGCCATGGAAGCGCCAAATCCTAAAGAAGTATAATATAATAGACTAAGGATAAAGTATACTATAACTATGCAGCTAATTAGAGATAATGCTGAAGGAATTAAAGATTGGGAGATTAGCTAAAGCGGTTGGAAAGGATGAGATTGACACACCGTTTCTTGCCAAAAGAAAATTCGAAGAGAATATAATTAATGATGTGTGGATTGATGAATATGGTGGGATGGGAATGACGCAGAACTCGTTCCACAGATAGATTGACACGGATGCTAGCTACTATAGTCAATCTCCAATCCATGAACCACACATTTAATGTCGTAACTCTTCAGCGTATTTTTCTAATGTTCTTCGCCCATAATTATTTAATTGAGAGTATTGGATGCTTACCAATTGATCTATCAAAGCCATGAATGAAAAAAAACATTCGTTCACTTGGAGGGCAAAATTAAAAGATCAAAATTTTCAAAGGGAATTCAACAAATATACGTCTTATATGAATTGTGCTTTCAATGTTAGGATTAGAAGGTTATGACAGAGACCGATTTCAAGCTGAAATGCCTGGAACATACAGCATCTAAGATCTCGAAAATGAGTGCGCACCATTAAAACATAGAATTGCATTTGATTTGCTGAGTTTGTGTATTCTTTCTTTTCTGATTCCTGGGGTTTGCTCAATAGAACCTTAGCCTATTTTTACGTTAATTTCTACGATGGCATATATTCCCATGAATACAGTCCTATGAATAAAACGATCATACCATAGTTTCTATTCCTCTTCACCACTTTTCTTTGCCTCCCATTGATTTGAATGTGACTATTGATTTTTTTTAAATCTTTTATTGACAATTGATTTATTCTATCATACTAGCTACTACTAGCTAGTATGGTGAATGCTATAACTCAAATATCCTTATTTTTTGTTCGTGTATCATCATANATATATATATATTCAAATCTTAACCAAGACTAATTGGCACCAATGTCATGTATATTTTTACAAAATGTGTTTAGTACAAATAGTTTCTGTTAAGTAGAAGAGACACAGCAAACCTCGAGCTCAGACTTGAGCTCCCATGGTGGACCCTAGAAGCTTCGAGAGAGACGAGTCTGAGAGGAGACAATTTAGAAATGAACTGTGTAAACTCATTAGTTCAATATGTGAGTACAAATATACACACGTAGATCTTCCACTCAATACATGTAACAAACAAACTAATTGCCAACTAATTGACAGTTAAGCTAATAACAGTAACTGAATTAAGAACATATAAATACATAGCCCAATACCCCCCTCTCAAGTTGGAGGTGAGGCCTTCACAGCCAACTTGCTCAACACAGTGGAATGTTTGATGCCAGTGAGAGCCTTACTGAGAATGTTTGCTAGCTGATTATGTGTGCCAATGTGATGTAAGGATATGAGACCTTCTTGAAGTTTATCCCGCACAAAGTGACAATCAACCTTAATATGTTTGGTCCGCCATGGAACATAGGATTTCTAGCAATGTGTAAGGTTGATTGACTATCCTAATACACAGTCACAGGTGTAGGAAAGGGAATAGTCAGCTCCTCAAACAACTTGCATAACTATGTCAATTCCCCTATCACCTTTCTAAGAGACTTATATTCATCTTCAACTTCAGCTGAGGAAAGAGAAATGGTTTCCATCTTTTTAGACTTCCAGCTTATAGAACTAGTGACCAACAACACCAAGTAACCACTGACTGGCCTCTTAGAATCTAGGCAGGCAGAGTCACAATACCCTTTAATGGTGCAGTCATGATCATTGGATAGAAAAATTTCAAGTGTAGGATCACCCTCAAGGTACCTAAGCAAGTGGAATGCAGCCTGTAGGTGGGGTTCTCTAGGATCTAGCATAAATTGGCTCAAGTGTTGCACACCAAAAGCAATATCCAATCTAGTATTGGTGAGAAAGTTAAGCTTGCCTATCAGTTTTCTGTAGTATGTAGGATCTGAAAGAATAACTCCTTCTTTAGCCCTTAGTTTGACAGTAGGATCAAGAGGAGAAGTAAGGCTATTGCAATGGAGACAATCATACTCCTTTAAGAGATCCAGTGAAAATTTTCTCGGGGAGATGATAATCTCATCTTCTTTGTAAAGGACCTCTAAACCAAGGAAGTAATGAAGCTTGCCTAGGTCCTTAATCTTAAACTGGTCATGCAATAAGATCTTCAGATCAGTGATCTCTGGTCCCAGTAATAATGACATCATCAACATACACAACAACAAAGATTGTGGAAGAAGCTGATTTCTTGTAGAAGAGAGAATAATCATGTAAGGAATGAACATAACCCCTGGAATAAAAAACAGTGACCAATTTTGCATACCACTGTCGACTAGCCTGTTTCAGGCCGTATAGAGATTTTCTTAACTTGCAGACAACTCCAGGTGTATACAATACAAAACTAGGTGGTAATTGCATGTATACCTTTTCATCCAAATCACCATGGAGGAAGGCATTATTTACATCAAGCTGGAAGATGTCCCAGTGTTTCTTAACTGCAGTGGCTATAAGTGCGGGGAATAGGTTTCTGTGTAGTCGATCCCGGCCTGCTGGGTGTAACCCTTTACAACTAACCTGGCCTTGAACCTTTCTATGCTCACATCAGCCATGTGTTTAACCTTGTAGACCCATCTACAGCCTTTGGCTTTCTTTTCAGGAGGCAAATGAACCAGGACTCAAGTGTTATTTGCATACAAAGTCTCAAACTCTAAAGACATAGCCTCTTGCCAGGCAGGATTTCTTTCCAGGAGGCAAATGAACCAGGTCCCAAGAGTTATTTTCATACCCCCAAACTCTAAAGACATAGCCTCTTGCCAGGCAGGAGCAAGGCTGCCTCTTCATAAGAAGAAGGCTCACTATCCTTCATGTGGTCAGACAATTTATGGTGTCTAGATGACTTCCTGGTGGCTATAGAAGAGGCAATAGGATTAGGAGTGGAAGAAGGAGATGATGATGAAATGTAGGAAGGGAGAAGAGAGGGGAACCAGATAAGGATGGAGGCATGTCAGATGGTGAAGCATGGGTTGTAGACCTATTACTAAGGTGGTCAAAAGTAGTAAAATGAGAGGGAAAATCATCAACAAAAGGAACAAATTGAAAAACATATGGCAAAGGTGAAAAATGAGGAGAAAGATCAAAAAGAAATATATTTTCATGAAAAACTACATCTCTGGAAACAGAGATTTTCTTGGTGAGTAGGCTAAGGACCTTGTACCCTTTGTGTCATAGGGGTAACCTACAAAGACATGGGGTATTGCTCTTGGTTCAAATTTAGTTCTGTGGGGTTTATGAGTGGTAGGGAAACACAAACAACCAAAACTTCTAAGGTGAGAATAAGTAGGCACTCTTTTGTACAAACATTCAAAAGGAGTTCTGTTTTTTAGATGAGTAGTAGACAATCTGTTGATAATGTAGGTAGCAGTTAATATTCATTCTCCCCAATACTTTAGGGGTAGTTTGGATTGGAATAAGAGTGCCCTGGCAGTCTCAAGGAGGTACTTGTGTTTCCTTTCTACTACCTCATTCTATTGAGGTGTATAGGGGCATATTTTCTGGTGAATAATTCCCTTTGAGTTGTGAGCATCTAATTTTTGACCATGCTTGAATTTTTTCCCACTCATCTCACCAATACCTCACTTCTCACTCCATCTTTCCCGCTCACATCTTTTCACGCGTGTCCCTACTCCACTTTCCTTTGCTCCCCACTCTTTGTCCCCACTCCATTTTCCCTTGTTCCTCATTCCTTGTCCCACATGCTTGTCCCCCACTCACAACCCACATATCCCCATTTTTCCTTTACGTAAATACACACACGCAAAGGAGGGGAGTTGGTCTGCTGGAACCAAAAAAGGGCAGCCTTAACCTCCTCTAAAAACGCCCCAAAATCCAGCTTGAAAAGAGCCCAAAAAATTAGTTGCAAAATCCAGGCCAAAAAATAGCCTCGAACACTATCCCAAACCCTGTACAAATCTGTTGTTGATTTTTTCTCTAAAAGGGCCCCAAAAACGAGCTTGAAACGAAGCTCAAAACTGAGCCCCAAAACAGCTATGTTACTGCTGGAAATTCAATCACAAAACAACATTGAAATACCTCCATAAGGTCATCAAAATACTCTCAAAGTCCCAGCTCAAAACAGCTCCGAGCAGTCCTAAGAAATTAGTAAAAAGTGGGTTCTTCAACTGAAGTTAAAAGGAGATGTGAGAGTCGAGTTCGTCGTCGCTAGTTTTCGGTCATAGTTACTGACTCACTGGTGTTTTGTCCGGTTGTTGAATTGCAAACCTTTAAAATTTAGATTTCGGCAATAAAGGTCTGTTTCTTTTACATGTGTACCATATCTTCCTAATTTGATTCCGGAATTTTGGTTGAATAAGTATTTCATTAATTTTTTATATCTATGTGAATGTTCATTTCATGTCTCAAAAGTGGGTTTACGTAAAAGCTGATTTTGTGCTTGTTGTTAGCATGTCTGTTTTTTTGGTGTTCTTAAGGTGAAATTCATTTGTTATAAGGTTTTGTTTAGTTTCATGATTTGTTGGAAATATATAAGTTTGGTTGTGTTGATTTTTGGTTCTGAGTTGTTCTATTAATAAGTCGTTTGATCAGTGGTTAAGCCATGGGGCCATGTGATATTGAATTCTTGTTTTATAATTAGACTTAAGTAATCTTGATTATGTTCAATCACTAGCCCGTCAACGACCTGTAATGTAGATAATCTTCTTAACCTTACATAATTCATGACCTTACAATAATCTCAAAGTTTAGGAAGAATAATGAGCACCGATAGAGTGCTTTAAGCGTGCATTTAGTTAGTTTATCGCGATTATGTATACGTTCGCGTGGCATAATTGTAATTTCCAAAATTAAAACCGAAGTATGTGTTCGCGCATCTTTGGCCAAAACAATCTTAATATAATAAAATAGTATTAATTGTGTACACGTACGTGTGACATAATTTTGTCACAATAAAAAAAATGGATTCACACACGTGATTCGTTTCAAAGATAATTTCATATTTTAATAATTAAAAGCGGATAGATAAAATATGAAAACCAATAAATCACAGCTTATCCAAAATTAATTCAAGCCAAGTTGTAGTCAATAAAGTGACCGTGTTAGAATCACGGGACTCGGAAAATATCTTACACTTTCTCCCCGGTCAACAGAATTTCTTACCCGAACTTTATTTTTGTAGACCAATAATAAAAGAGTCAAATCTTCCTTTGATTAGGGATTCAAATAAAAGGTGACTTGGAACACCCAAAAATCAAATTTCAAGTGGCGACTCTGAATAATAAAATAATCCTTACTTCAAAAATGTCACTTTAATTGGAAAAACTCTTTAACCCACAGCAATCCATAACACATATCTTTTGTGGGGTAGAAAAAAAGGTATGACAGCTCTGGAGACTCTGCTGGGGATTCTCAAGAATCCGAGCTTGTACATTGACTTTATTTAGCTTTATTAATTTTTGTATATATTGTGATTTATTTGGGCCTAATGTGTTACTTGTCCATTTTTTACCGTTTTGATATTGTTGAACTGTACATATAAATTGAATCCTCTCTCGCACCCCTCTAAGTCTTCTGATAGTTAGTTATGTTGTGTTTGCCTACCAGCATCACAAAATTTCTGTCTTGAGATAAAGCTAGTTAGCCTACCAGCTTCTGGTAAGGATTTAGTCACACATGCTTAGGCGGGAGAGCCGTTAGCTAGCCAGTGTTGTTCTACTACTGTTAACGCTTGATGCTCCTCGGCTCGGGTTGTCCGCCCGGGTAAGCCAGGTCTAGATACCATCTCCTTTAGGATTTGAAAACTTAGAAGAATAAGCCACAAGCAATGAATATCCCTAATAGGCTACGCTTTATTTGCTTCATGTGCATTGGACTTAGCGGGACTCGGCACAGGGGCCGGGCCCGTCTAGGACAGGTACCAATTTTTCAGACTAGCATGTTCATTTTTCTATGCTATATGTAACATTACTTGGTAGGCTTTACTCAAATGTTGACCGACCTTAGGATAGATTGATTGAATGGGGGAGAGAGAAAGAGAAAATTCCCTCCACATTTTCATAAAGTTCCCATTTTTTTTTAAAAAAAAAGTTTTGAAGGGTTCTAATGTGTAAAATCACAATTTTCAAAATATTTTTTTTATTTATTTTGACCGAACTACGTGGGTCTGATTCTCACCGGATGTGAGATACGTAGACAAACCTCATCGGTTCTGGCCCCCAATTTTTAAAAATTCAAAAATATTTTTCTTTAATTCCTTCTTTAGAAGTCTTTTCTTAGAAAATTCCAAATTAAAAAAATAGATTTTAAACCCAAAAAGTATTTTCTTTAATTTTAGAAGTCTCTCATTTGAAAAAAAAAAAAATCAAATCAAAGTCCAAAAATATATTTTTTCCTTCTTTAGAAGTCTTTCTCCAAAAAATTCAAAAAATAAAAATAATCAAAATCCAAAAAAAATATTTTCTTTCTCCTTTAATAAGTCTTCTTTTCAAAAATTCTCAAAGAAAAAAAGAAGCTAGCTTATGTACTTTGTTCCCGGTATTTCTGAACTACATAATGATCTGATTCATGTGACGTCATGATACGTAGGCAATCCCCATCGGATTCGATCATTGCCACTAAATAAACTGAGTGAAAAAAAAATTGAGGGAAAAAAAAAGAGTGACTAAAATAATAGAGAAAAAGAAAGAGCGAAAAAAACAAAAAAAAATAGAAAAAAGCAAGAGTGAAAAAATCCACAAAGAGAACTCTTTGTCCAATTTGAAAAATAAAATCGAGGAAAGTTTCCGTGGACATGCTGTCAAATGGCGCGAGCAAGCTGCCGGGGTAAAGCCTCCAATGGACGAAGCAGAAATGGTTACGGTTTTTCTACAGGCCCAAGAGGCGGGCTACTTCCAGAACATGATGTCCGCGTGTAACGACCCGGCCGGTCGTTTTGAGAATTTAAGTCCCTTTCGGCGGCATAAGGCCCTGAGCGGCTTCGTAGTATGTGTATTGACTTGCGTGCGTGGTTGAATTCAGTTACCGGATGATTCAGAGTAATTTGGGACACTCAGTCCCTAAAATAGAAGCTTAAGTCTTAGGATTTTGACCGTAGTCGGAACTGTATAAAGACGACTCCGGAATGGAGTTTCGTCGGTTCCGTTAGCTTCGTTGGGTGATTTTGGACTTAGGGGCGTGTCCGGATTGTGTTTCGGAGGTCGGTAGCTCATTTAGGATTGAAATAGCAAAAGTCGAATTTTTGGAGATTTGGACCGGAAGTGGACTTTTTGATATCTGGGTCGGAATGCAATTTCGAGAGTTGGAACAACTCCGTTATGTTATTTGGGACTTGCCTGCAAAATTTGACGTCATTCCGGGTTGGTTTGATTGGTTTCAGCACGAGTTTTCGAAGTTGGAAGTTTTGAAAGTTCATAAGTTCGATTCGTGGTGCGATTTGTATTTTTGGTGCTGTTTGATGTAATTAGAGACCTCGAGCGAGTCCGTGTTAGATTATGAAACTTGTTTGTGTGTTTAGACGGGGTTCCGGGGCCTCAGGTGTGTTTCGGATGGGCTACGGGCCATTTTCTTCTATTTTTGAACTGCTGTTTTCTGTCATCTG